TGAAAACGATTTTGCGACTTTACTCAGTGATGTGCGAACTTGGCGCTATATTTCAAATTTCAGTGTTTTTTGGTTTGATTATATTATTGAATTAAATGTATTATTATTATATTATTATTTTTTAGAATTATTTATTATATTATAATTTACTATTTCGTGTTTCAAATTTTATCCTACCCGGGATGTTTACTAGACTCTTGTCCGGACAGATTTCAGTGAGTTATTCCTAAAAATTACAGGCCTACAATAAAAAAAACAACACATTTCCATGCAATAAAAGTACCGTTTTGAGCACAGAAATACTGACATAATCAGACCGCTAGGGAGGTTAATGTTGTTCTAGAGTAAAGTTGCAAGTGGTCTATGATAGGGAAATGGGTAGTTGGCTTGCTGGAATACTTCCACTGCTGCGGATCCGAATAAATGGGATTAATACAGCTGTAATTTACATTTATAAACATTGCATTTCATTAGGCAACTAAATGCCCACAGTATCAAATTTTCATTGTCCTTTTCAATATATCACTTTCTTTCTAATTTTTAGGAATTATTAATAATTTGTCATCCGTAACAACTCAGCTTTATTTTCTGTTCCACAATTTTCTGTTCTTCAATAAAAAGACTGAAAACTATTTGGCCCAATACTGATCTTGGGGCGCACCACTTATCAATGTTATATACTGTATATTTACAACTACCTTTCATCTCTGTACTTTTTAATTATATAAGCATTCTGCTCAGTCCTGGTATCCTTAAGGGTCGGTTCACGCTATAGAAACGCAGTCTAGATGCATTCCAGTTCATTTTTCCCCCTCTCTTTTTCTTCAATTTATATTGAGACGTGTGTTCCAGTGCAGTTTTTATGCATTGTTGTGCATTCCGGTGCATTTTGTATGCATTTTACTGGATTCCAGTGCAGTTCTGTGCAGAAAAAAATGCAGCCTGTTCTATGTTTTTTTCTGCACCCGGAACACACTGGAACTCCAAGCACTCATGTGAACTATGACATTGACAACCATATAACCTACTTTCTGTGCGTTTTGGATGCAGAAAAAAAGCAACTGAAACGCATGTAGTGTGAACTGGCCCTAAAGGAAATCTATGGTCATAGTGTACACGTTGATGTTATAACAACAGTATTGTAATTATTATTATTATTATTATTATACAGTATTTATAAAGGGCCAACAGTTCACTGAGCGCTGTACATTACAAAGGGAGACAGAACATGTGACAGAACAATACCAATACAATGCAAAACATGAGGGGATTGAGGGCCCTGCTCTTTCGAGCTTACAATCTAGGAGGGAGGGGATAGTGGTACAGGAGGAGATGGCTGTGGGGGATGGAGTGGTAGGAAGAGTGGAGGAGGTCAGCAAGTTAGCAGGGGGTGGGGTAGGCTTCCCTGAAGAGATGGGTTTTCAGGGTGCGCCTAAAGGAGAGGAGAGTAGGTGATAATCTGATGGGTTGGGGCAGGGAGTTCCAGAGGATGGGTGACACCCTTGAGAAGTCCTGGAGGCAGGCATGGGAGGAGGAGACCAGGGAATTAGAGAGAAGGAGGTCTTGTGAGGAGTGGAGTGTGCGTGCTGGGCGGTGCTTAGATATTAGGTCAGTGATGTAGTTCGGGGCAGTATGGTAATAACAATACAAAAAATAGTTATATTTGACAATACAATGTAAGCTTACTTGAAAATCTCCTGTTGTGTCTGTTGGCCATCTCTTTCCACAACTTCTTGGATTCCTTGCATGCTTTGCAGCTTCTCCTTTGCTGGTTACTTTCAGTTTCTAAGGATTACATATCCCATTGTACTTTTCTGCCTGCAAGCTGTGATTCCTGTACTGAGTTTGCCTCCTAAAACTCCTCCAATCAGCGCCCTTTGTAGTTCAGAAGGCAAGCTCTGTGAAATGTGTGACTCAGCAGTGCCTGCTCACAGGGCATAGTGAATGTATGTCACAGAATTCAAGGAAGTAAATATTTGAGGATTTTCACAAAGTACATTTACAAACGTGAAGATCATTCAGATTAATAGGAGTGGACTAGAAGTAAACTTTAATATGATGAGGAAATGAGTATATTAACTTACATTTTAACCATAGATGTGTTTAACTTCAAATATGAAACCTAATAAACCATTTAAAAATTAGAGTAAAACAATATGTGCATGGAGAATCATATACAAAAAAATTGTCCTAAGTGAAAAAATACATACCTGTAAATGGTGATGCCATTGAACACCACCTGATCCTGAAAAAAATCTGCTGAAGTTCGCAAGAAGACCAACACTTCAGGTACTATGGATCTCATGGGTCCCCCATAACTCTCACTGGTTCCTGTTACTGATCGTCACTCATTAAAGGGTAAAGTAGTGACATGGGGTCAGTAGGAGGAACCAGTGAGAGTTGTGGGGAACCCAGTAGATTGACAATCAAAGTGTTTTCTTGCTGATTTCTCAGGATCAGAGCTGCATTTGGCAGTACAGGCGGTGGGTAAAGTAGATACAGTTGTGCTCAAAAGTTTGTACACCCTGGCAGAAATCATGAAATTTTGTCATTTATATTGTAAATATGATTGATCATACCAAAAAAAAGTATTTTATTTAAGGATAGTGATCATATGAAACCATTTATTATCACATAGTATCAATAGATCCCCAAACTTTTCATTTCTTAATAAGTGATTGCACAGTTCTCACTGGCATATTCAAGACTTTTCTTCTATATATCTTTTTATATCTTTTTCTATCTTAACCTCCTTGGCGGTATTCCTGAGTGTAGCTCGGGGTAAAATTTCAGTACCAAGAGCGGTAACCCCGAGCTACACTTGGGCTTACCCTGTGGCGTTGCTCAGGGAGTCCCTGCAGCACTTACCTTATCCTTTGCTCCCGCGATGTGTCTCCTGCAGCGTCCCCGGCCATCTCCTCCGGCCAATGCCGGCATCCGGCTTCCGTGTTCCAGTCCCTGTGACGTCGGGACGTACGGGCGCCAGAACCGGCGGCAAACTTGAAATTTTTTAAAAATGTCATTTTTTAAAAAATTATTATTCTATAGTAAAACATTGCTGTTTCAATGCATTTCACATATATTTTGTCCCTAGTGCTTTGTCCTGTGCCCTGCCTGCATTTTGACTGTTCTTTCTGCCTGGAAACTTAGAAAAGTCCATGGTGTCCAAAAAGCGTCCCTTTTATGTCAAAAGCAGTTTTAGACCAGCTAGAGAACAGCGATAGTAAATCAGAACCACTTGCAGAATTGAGTGATAATGATTTGTGGGGAAATTCGTCATCAGACACTGAAAACGATTTTGTGACTTTGCTCAGCGATGTGCGAATTTGCCTCTGTATTTCAAATTTCAGTGTTTTTCGTTTGATTATATTATTGAATTAAACATATTATTAATATATTATTATTTTTTATGATTATTTATTAAATTATAATTTATGATTTTGTGTTTCAAGTTTTATCATATCCTGAATGTTTACTAGACTCTTGTTCGGACAGATTTCAGTGAGTTATGCCTAAAAATTACAGCCTACAATAAAAAACTACATATTTCCATGCAAAAAAATGGTACCGCTTTCAGCACAAAAAATCGGAAATAATCATACCGCCAAGGAGGTTAATAAAGTTTCATTACCTTGTTACGCAGGTCTTTTGACAGTTCTTTTCTGCTCTCCATGGCTCAATATGTAGTCTGATCAGTGCATCCACTTGAGAGCTAACAATTTCACTGACTATTTATACACAGACACTAATTGCAATTTAAAAAGTCAGAGATGTGGGAAATTATCCTTTACTTGCCATTTTAACCTGTGTGTGTCACCTTGTGCATCTGTGCCAAGGCCAAAAAAGAATTGCATTTTAAATTTGACATTTGTGAATTTAGTATTAGCTACGTATGTTTCTGTATATGTGTCCTAAAATATGGTTGATTGCAGTTTACAGAGGACAACTAGCATATTTACCAGGGTGACAACTGATATGAAATGTTTCTGCAAGTTCTAATAGGTTTTTCGTACCAATTAAAGCCAGTGTTATGCCCCAAGCCAGGTGCCATACTGTCCAGATGATTCCTCAGGGTGTATTTAATTTCCTACTGCATGAATTGTTAAGTAATCAGCAGATCCAACTGCATTGATGACAGAGCCTTAGAGAATGAACAGAGCTTCATCAGATTGCATGTAAAGTAAACTCGGGAATTTGGGATACTATCATTCCCCCGTGCCTTTTACTGTTGTAGATCAACAAACTTTGTTAGCTTCCTCTGGAAGCTCAAAGGAAAATAATGCGAGATATTTCATGCAGATTTACGATATGGATTTTAATCTGCATAGGCATCCGCTGGTAATTACAGCAGCATAAAATAATTAACCACCATTGCCTCTCAATACAGATGACAGCAACTTATCGTGCACTGAGCTCAGCTTGGTATACACATCACAAGAACAAAGGCTTGTATAATAAGGCCATGAGCAGTTTGTCAAGTATTAGCAATCAGAATGAAAGTGCATGTAAAGCCCAAACTTTTTTTTTATGTTTCTTTCAGACAGGCGATCAGGGGCAAGTAAAACAGGTGGCTGAGCCATGGTTTTGCTGCCCCTCACCTACTCAAACTGTAAAATAGCAGCCAGACGAGGCTGTTCGCATGCTTTGCTTCAGCTTGGGCATTTTTAACTCGGGGTGCAGAGTTTGACAAGCAGCATTGCTTGTCAAACTCATACTTTGAGTTCAGTGGGGTCACACCAAAAAGCCAAATACAGTTTGACTTTATAGGGTAAATTTGGGCAGTAAGGTGCAGGGGCGGACTGACAACTCATGGGGCCCCCGGGCAATAGGGGATCATGGGGCCCCTGTGTCCTTGCCCACACTCAAACCACACCCAAAATAGCCTATAAAAGGTACCAGGGGCATCTCATGGGGCCCCCTATTGACCCCAGGCCCTCGGGCAGTGCCCAAGTTCCCAAATGGTCAGTCTGCCCCTGGTAAGGAGGCAATATATTACCTACTCAATGCCTGTCAAAATGCCATCTGAAAAGCTATCTGAACTCAGATTGCTGTTCAGAAGGCACCACACTCCACTGCTAGTCTGAAAGAGTCCTTATAGTTTTGAATAAAGTGTGAAAGGGCTAAGTAAAAAGAGTTTTAGTGTGTGTGCGTGTGTGTATGTGTGATTTAAAGTATATGGAAAGCCTTACCTTGTAAAACAACCCATTCAGCTTAAAATAGAAAATGAAAGGCAAAAATTTGTGTATAGATATAAAAATCTATTTTTTATTTTTCATAAGTAATCACATAATCTCTGTTCCAAGCTGCATATGGGCCTTGGAGAGGTAGAGGTGGAGAAAAAGCAGTACAGTGATCTCCCCAGTAAGTGGCTGTGCAGGAGGGGGGGGGGGGTGCACGTCAGCACAAGTCTGATCAGTGGAGTGGAGGTCTGAACACTGACCACACTGGGAAGGATATGCTTCTATGTCTGGTGTGATCAGGTTTTAATAGGAAAGCAGGAAAACTGGCAGAAATACTGGAGATTTCACACAAAGGAAGCAATACAAAGAAAAAAGGCTATTTTTTATACAAGTACATGGTACAGCAGGCACATATCAGGAATCTGAAATGTTTGAGTAGCATATTCTTTAAAAGGTCAATAAACCCACATCTTAAAAAACTATCAATAAATGCTGTATTAATACTCACTCAGTCACTATGGGATTCGTTCTGTATTCTGAAAAAAACCTGGTTGATCCTGCTGTTTTCTATCTCCCCCTTCTGTCCAGGTCCCCAATGCAGTTGGGGATTCTGCAGGAAAATTGTTGGTACCTACTGCACGTGTTCAGTTTTCAGTGAGTTTCTATGCTGAGCATTTTTTTACTATCACATCTGAGCAGCCCATGTGACTATAGAGTCACACATGTGGGCATATACATATGACAGCCCACTCCCTCCCTCCCTCCTCCTATACACCCACTAACCAGCTAAGCACAATGGGGGTGGGATATTACATATTGATTGATGGAGGTTTTACCTCCTGGTTGTTCTAAGACACAGGCTGAAGGGGTGGGGCATAGCCTGTAACTGGCAGAAATTCACCCACACCATGTTATTGCCAAATAATAATAAAATATTAGATTTCAAATATATATTTGTATGATGTTTTAAAACAGCTTATTGATAATAATTATTTATTTTTACTCTAAATGCCTTTTTTTTAAATTTGAATATATAACCAGCAGCAGAGGACTAGAGGCTCCTCCTGCCACTGTTTTCCTGCAGACAGGCTGGGAAAGAGCTGGGTCATGTGACAGTTGTATATTGATTAGGAAAAAGGTACTTGCTGTAGATTTTTATTAAAATAATTACAGTGCCATCATCCACACACAGAAAGAGAAGGGACATTGTAAATTAAACAGTGTGTGTTTAGTATCAGTTTAATAATAGTTAATTTCAGCTATTTTAAACCTATTTATCCTCTATTTGCTCTCCATTTGATGTGGAATTGTACACCGCATACATCATTTTGTTTCAAGGTAATTTCTGACTTCATTTTATTAGAATTTTGTGATGTAATATCGAAGATCATCCAGGTACTACAATTGGGCTACTTTCTGTGTAAATTTTCTACTGTTAAAGTTTTGCAACTGTTCTTCAAGGTCACACAATGACCACAAGATCTGGGCCTACAGCCAATTACTATTTTGTAAGTAATCAACTATCACTCCTTTGTCTCCTTCACTTTATATGTATAAAAATTCTGCATCTTTGCTTATAGTGCAATGTCACTTTTTTACGAAAGAAGAAAAGGTGAACTAAATCCAAACATCATGACCATAGCTCCAGACCCCACTGCAAATAGCAGCCGTGATGTTCTATACTGCTGGTTCAGCAGCGCATCGATACACAGTCCTCCCTTTTAGCGTTCTCAAAGTAAAAAGCCTCACATGGCCTTCTTATTGGTTATTCAGCATGGTCTTGTGTCTGTGATGGCCAAGCATTTTGAGGCATACTCACTCTGGGTCTGTGGTTTGAGGTGTATGGTGTAGACTGCTACACCGGCAGCATGGGGCATCATGGCCACCATATATAGTGAGGTCCGGAGGAGTGGCCAGGATATTTAAAGTTAGTTCACCTTTTCATTTTTTGTGAAAAAGTGAATTTACCCTTTAATGACTAGAACAGCTTGTATTTGACTCCACTCATCTAGGTGTCTGCTGCAACAGTTATTCTATTGACATTGGGGAACAACTGATCAAAACTCATTGGTGAAACGTATTTCCAATGACAGAGAGATGCACCCCCTTGTTTGCCCCAGTGACCCAGTGGGCAGACATTTAAGCAATAGTCCAAAATGTTATAGCTAAAGCAGGAATGGAGGGATAACTTCCTATGGAAACACCTGTTCTGAGGATATCATCTCCATTTAGAGAGATTCCCATTTACTTACAGAGGTTTTGGAATAGAAGTAAAGTGAAATCTCCCCAATGGCACATAGAACCAATAAAACTGGCATGGGTTTAAACAACTTCCTTCTCTGTTTGATTGGATTCTAGAATGGCTTCTTCTGCTCTTCCTTATCCTAACTGTTCTCTCCAATTCCTTTAAAGCACTGCAGGCCTTTAAAGCACTATAAACTGCAGGCATACCATGATTTAATTCTAACGAGGTGTATGCCACATCACAGACTTATCTCTATTATTCACATCTGACAGGTGTATTGTGCTCCAGAACAATAACCTCTGGAGCTCCGGCACTGCTCACTGTGGTCCTTCAAGAGCAGAGTCGCTAGAACTGCTATGCTCACCCCTCCCATCCTCTCCTTCTGCCCATTTACAGAAGCCTTTGCATTATGTGAACTCCTTTGCTGACCATTCACAGAAGCCTTTGTATTTTGCAAAGGGGAGGGGCAGGCATAGCTGCTGTATGTGCTTCTCTCCTCTCACAGCCAGAGTGTATTCTCTGGGAGTGCAATAAACCTGTCACATGTAAGTAATATAGATAAGTCCTGGAGGTGACATGCACCTAACTGGACTTAATTAATAATGCGCCTGCACTTTTTGCAAAGTTGCTGAATACCTTCAGCTTTTAGCAAAATGTAAGGTTTGCTTTACTAGTATTCCTAGTATTCCTCCTTGCGTTCCTAGACACATGGGTGATGTTACTATGCCTCACTGTTGCCTACCTAGAATCTTGGTTGTATATTTTTGTTAGATTTAAGTATACCAGCTTTCTTAGGAGGAAGCAGTTATGTCACTCGTGCCTCCTGGAAGCGAGAGAAGCCAGAAACTAGTTTTTTTTTTTTTTAAATCTTTACGTTTAACTAATATTTTAAAATTATTTTAGCTGGGGCCGGGGGGGGGGGGGGGGGGGGGGTAATAACAGTAAAAAGAACTTTCCATTTTCAGAGTTGAACTGCAAATATAAAAAAGTAAATCTAATGTAGTTATCCATTTATTAAAAATAATTAAGGCCTTGTTTGCACCAGTGTTATGTCTTATCCAATTGATTCAAATGAGAACCTGCAATTCAGCACACCCAAACTGCAGCATACAAGATATTTCTTTGATGCCTTGCTCTTGTGAGAATGGGCCCTATTGACATAAGTGGCTGTGTCCTGTACTTTACCTGCATTACAAACCATAGCAAACTAAGAGTGTTATCACACTTGAACTGAGTGTCTTTGGTTGTTTTGCAGACTTTTTTTTAGCATTTGTGCAAGCGTTTTTGCAGATGTCTGAGACCATTTTTTAAAATTCTTTTTTACAAGTAAAAAAAGAGCCTTGGATGCAGATGCTGTCTGAACAATATGAAAGCTAGTGTCAATACTCCTTTACTCCTCCTACACCATATTAGTTTACAAAAAAATACACATTTGATGTTCAATAAAGATTTATAGGGAACTTTATAATTTATGTTTTATAACTTTAGAATTTAATTTGAATTGCTCTTCTGAAACATTTTTTTATCATGTGACCGACAGCTCCAATCAGGGCTGTGCAGACCCAGACTTATACTGTAGAGAGCATACATCAGCAAAGTAATAGAAGCCCCTCCAAAAGACCTTTCCCTGAAGATGCCAAAGAATTGGGAAAGATCATGTGACCACACAACAGTGCTGCAGGAATAAGGTACTTAAAAAAAAAATACAGTGCCATGATCTATATTAGTGGTCTCCATACTGCAGCCTGGGGGCCAGATGCGGCCCTTTGCCTGCTTTTATCTGGTCCTTGGGCCATTATTCCCCTCACTGTCAGCAACAGTGGGGCATAGTTCCTGCCACTGACATCGACACCGAGTCACTATTTCTCCCACTGACACCAATGATGGGGCACTATTCCTCCCACTAACACCAGTGATGGAGCACTTTTCCTTCCACTGACACCAACGATGGGGCACCATTCCTCCCACTGACACTAATTATAGGGCACTATTCCTCCCACTGACACCAATGATGGAGCACTTTTCCTTCCACTGACACCAACGATAGGGCACTATTCCTCCCACTGACACCAGTGATGGAGCACCTTTCCTTCCACTGACACCAACGATGGGGCACCAGTCCTCCCACTGACACCAATGATGGAGCACTTTTCCTTCCACTGACACCAACGATAGGGCACTATTTCTCTCACTGACACCAGTGATGGGACACTATTCCTTCCACTGACACCAACAATGGGGCACTATTTCTTCTCACACCAATGAAGGAACACTGTTTACTCCCACTGATACGGAGAAATTTTCTGTTCCCACTGGCAACAGTCCCACCATTCTAAAGTTTGAAGGACAGTAAACTGGGCCTTTGTTTAGAAAGTTTTGGAGAACCCTGATCTATATGATTTAGGTCAATGAATTATGGCAATTAACACTTCTTTGTTTAGTATCACTTTAAGGGAGTCAGGCTTTGCTGTCTTTATGTATGGTGACAATGATTATATTGACGCTAATAGAGAGCAGAAGGGTAACCTCATCAGAGCAGAGTGCTGCTGTTCCTTTACTGTTCAGACTACAAAAGTGTTCTTGGCAGTGCTATACTGTACATTGC